GAAAATATATAGCTAAAATCAATATTTAAAATTTTATTAAAAAAATTTAAAATTTAAAAAAAGTTGCAGACAAATTTAGCTACAAAACAATTTAAGGGATAGTGTTTACAAATGTTTACATGAGCTTTTAAGAATTTGAATTTTTTTTTACAAGAGATATATACTGGCATTGTAAAATATCTTTTCTCACGCTATCTATATCTAGCCCAAAGTATATTAAAGTGCACTTTCAAGGACTACCTTGCTGAAAAATTTCTGAAGTTTATAAGAATATAAGTAAAAATGAATTTACAAACAAGTTTTACAATATATGGTATAGTTAAGTACATAATAACTTTTTAAAAATTTGGATAAATATTTTTTATTAATTTAAATCATTATTACTAATATTTTCAATTTTTTTATAGCCTTTACAAAAGGTAAAAAACTATTGTAAAGCAGCACTTCAAAACATTTATAATGCTATTTGGAATATATTTGGTTGTGAAAAGCTATATTCTCTCAAAAGTAATACTGCTACAACTGAAATTATCAAGTAGAAGAAAAGCTTCCAAGTTAAAAAATATTATGAAGCTTTTTTTAAGCTGAACACTGAGGGTCTTTCTTGGGTTTCTATTATTGGAAGGTCCACTTTCAGTACTGTTGCTATTCTCGAGTTGACAAACCACTATTGTGCTTTTATATTGGCAGTTTGCAATATTATGCTAAACCCTAGGTCTTGAAGCCTGTTGTGTAAAAAAAAAGCATATAAAGTGCTACATAGATCAATATTTAGTATATATTAACATATAATGATTTATAACAATATATTTTAAAGTCTGTTATTAATGTTTAATTTTTCTATTTGTTAGAATGACTATAATAATAATATGAGCTTAAATTATGAATTAGCTAAAGCAATAATAAATAAAGAGTTTGACTTAGTTATGATAATAATGATGAACAATCAAGTGAAGCTTCTTCTAATTCTAGTCTTTTGCCCCTAAGTAATTCTTCAGCTCTTTCAGAGCAAGAGCATGATGAATTATTTGATACTAGTAATCTTTATGATTAAATGAAATTAGTTTTTCGCTTTGTCATATTGATTAATAAATATAATAAATATTACATATATATAGTAATTATAATTGCTTTTTTTTATTTTTTATTTTTATTATTAATATAATGCCATAGTAGAAACTTTATTACAAAAAACTTAAATTAATTTAAAGACTAATAGTTTTTTCGTTTTTAGACTAAATTTGAGTGAGGGGTCAGGTAAATCATTTGATCAGGCTAACGAATCTCTCCAACCTAGCAATAGCTAAGTTAGAGAAAGTATAGCTTTTAGAAAGGATTTCTATGATTAAAGATTTCTAACTATATTTGTGCTACAAAAGTACTCAATATAATATTATATCTCCTATTTTCTATTTAAATACTATATTAGTTTTATTAAGTAAAATAATTCTAGCTAGAATAGGTTAGAAAAAACCTTTTAGTAATAATCATGATATTATAAAAAGCATGTTAATAAGAAAAATCCTTGTAAGTACTATTTTTAATGGTATTATATGCATTAATTGGATAAAAGTAGAATATATTTATATTTGCTTAGTTATAGATTAGTAGTAAAGCCATTTGGTATGTTTAACTTTTTGTGTAATATTGTAAGCTAGTTTCTATTGATATTGTAGAGAATTCTATTGGAACCATATTTCTTGATGAAACTAGTTTAGAAAATTATTAGAATGATTAGTAAGAAACAGGTTAGTTTGTTTGTTAAATAGAGTTTTGATATTATAATATATTGAGTTGGAATATATTTTAAAAATAGTAGGAAGAAGGAAGTTAGGTTGAATAGTAGAAGAATATTGTATAAGAAATAAAAGAGAATTAAGAAGAGTAGTAGACAAGGTTTGAAGTTGAAATTGATAGAGTGTATTATTAGTTATATTAACAAGAAATTGTTAGATATTATCCATATTTTTAGAGCATAAAAGTATATAAAGAGTGTCTTCAGTTAAAAAGTATTTGCAGCACTTGTTTGTTGTATATAGATTTGGATAATAGATATTAAGATTTTGCATTGTTAGAAGATTATCTGTTAAGATTTTAATATAGAAAGAGTATTTAAAGAAGTCATATTTTAGAGAATTAAGTATTTTAAAAGCTAAATTCTAGTTTATATTTGAGGTATAGTTGTTAAAGAATTTGAGAGAAGACTAGGATATAAGTTCTTCAATAGTAATAATATTTTTAATAAAGAAGCGTGTTTTGAAAAGTATGATATGATTGTTTTAGAGAAAGTAGGTAGAAAGATTAAAATATATATAAGAAATTTCAAGAATAGGTTTATCTAAACCTTGTTTGGCTAGTAGATTGGCTTGATTATAAATAGAGTTTTTTGAGTATAATTTAACTTTAACAAAAATAATAGTAATATTTTTGGTTAATTTGATAAAATTAATAATTGTGATTATATTCTAGTTTTTGTTTTGAATAATTTTCAGAGATGAGGGTTAAGTAGGTTGTTAATTGCTACTAGGTTGTTAATAAAAATAGTAATTCTAAAATTAATCAGTAAAACTAAAAAGAGAGAAATAATTGTACTTAGTTCAAAACAGGATAAGTTTGGAGAGGGGTAAATTGCTATATTAAATTTAATAGATAGATCATTTTTACAAATTCAGCCAATACTAGATTGCAAATTTGAGGTTTGAAGGTTTTTGATAAAGGCATTGGTATAAAACTAAAATCTAGTTGTATTTAAGTTTAAAATATTGTTATATATTTGAATTAATATATTTTGATAATAAGGTTTTGATTATGTAATATATTAATTGTATTTCTTAAGGAAGAATATATATTTGAGATTGTTGTAAGATGAAGGTTGGGTTAGGTTTAAATTTGAAATAATTTTAGTTATAGCAGTTATTTCTTTATAGTCTATTTGTAAATAAGATTTGTTAAGCTTTATTTGCTTATATAGAAGATTTATAGATCTGAAAGAATTAAAAATTTTTATTAAATTTATTTATCTAGTAAGTGTTTTATTTGTTTGATCAATTTTATATAAAAGTATGTATTGGAGATTAGAGTATTGAATAAAGATTCTATTTTGGTCAATAGAAAAGATTTAAAAAGGAAAACTTGTATTTAAAGAGGATATAAAATCAGTTGTGTTAATAAAACAGTTTATTGAAGATAAGTTAAGATGTAGCTATATAGATTGTAGAGAGTTGTTTTGTATTATTTGTGAGACAAGTAAACTATGCAGATTGATGGCCTCTAGTTGCTTTGTTTGTTCAGAGATAAATGTTGTTTTAAGGTAGAAGAAATTTGTTGTTTGCTGTAATTTGTTCTATAAATAAAATTTTGTTATTTTTAAGACTATTAACTATAAGGTTGTTAGGAGTTTTAGGAAGTATATCATATATTAGATATGTATATTCTGAAATAAAGGAGGAATAGATTGCAGTTTAAAGGAGTGAGAAAATTGTTATATTATTTTTGGCTAGTTGTATAATATGGAAAAGAAAAAAGAAGTTGTAAGTTTTTCTATAATATAAAAGAAATATTTTCTTGGTAAGGCTAGGGTACCAAACATTTAAAAGCCAGGATTTAATTCAAGAAATACCAATTTCATTAAGAAGTGAAGAAGAATTAAAGATATATTTGATATTAGAAATATTAATTTTTTGAATAATATTGTTAAATGTTGATAAATTAAAAGTAAGAGAGTTTAGTAATGAGGTGTTATTAGTATTTTTAATAAGTAAAAGTATTTTTTTTGCTTGTATAGAGAATAAGCAAAAAAGTTTAGTTTGTATATTTTTTTAAATAGGTATAATTTGTAGTAAATATTCTAGTGAGGGTTGGAGTATGAGGTTAAATAGAGATGAAATTTGGGATGAGAAGTTTTTTAAATCTAATAAGTAATAAAAAGTTTTTTATTTTATTGTAAATTATATCTAGTGTCAGTTTAGTAAAGTCTTTACCATTATAGTAAATACTAAAATATCTAATTATATTAGTAGATTTTCTAGAATTGATTATTTGATTATCAAAGTAGAGTGGATAGTTTGGTATTTTGGAGTTTTTGAGAGAGATATAAAGTAGGTCAGATTTGGATAGATTGACTTTAATATTGTTGATTTTGTACAAAAAAAAGGCTTTATTAATAATTTTTTGCAGAGTTTTAGGATGATCTGAGTGCTAAACAGTATCATTCATATAGGCTAATAGTAGAATAATTGTAGTAGTTAGATTTGAGTTAGAAATCAAGTTGAGTAGTTAGATAGAGAAGATTTTGAGAAAGTAATCTTTGAATTTTTGTGAAATGAAGGAAAGAATTGGGTCATAATAAATTTTTCAAAGAAGAGAAGAGTAGGTCTTTTCTTGTTCTATACCAAATTTTATATAAACTAGTAATATTAGGCTATAAGCTATAATTACTCTTGCAAGATGAGAAGTATAAAGTTCCATTATTAGATTTATGCTAGCAACAGGAATATCAATTCTTCTGCAAGCCTCTTGTAGATGTCCAATATTAATTTTGTCAAAAGCTTTAGACATGTCTTAAAACAATATTTAAGCTTCTTTATTGTTTTTTTTTTTTTTTTGGTATTAAGGTGACCTCTTTGATCTGAGAAACTTTTTATTAGAGTATAGACGAAGTTTTATATATAATTACAACGATGGTACATCAAGCCACACGTGCACCTTTTG